ATATATATATATATACACACACATACATACATGTATGTACACACACATACAAACAGACCCAAAGAATTTTAATGCCTACTGTAAATGGCTGCCTTTTTTAGATTTCTTTTGTTTATTCAATTTTTATTCTACACCAAGGCATAACAAATTAGCTAAAAGTGCATAAAACAATAAATAAAGAAGAAAAAAAATTAAATAAAAGTCTAAGTTAGCCTAATGTTCAGCAGAATAGAGAAAAAACTGTTCAAATCAGCTGAGGTAAAATGACTTGTAAAATGGCAAATTATTTTGTCAACCCTGTCCTCACTTAATACTTGTGAGTGTTTGGGGTACAACCCTAAAGACATGAACTGTAAGTCAGTGGACTTTTTTATGGTAGTGTGAACTTCTGTAGCAGAGTGTCTGTTATGTAACACCTTGTTGAAGAAGTTTATGATTTTGATCTTTAGACTGTGCAGCCAGTCACAGCAGTGTTAAAGAAAAGCAAGTAGTGGATTAACTTTTATTAAACTCACTGGTCACTGTTGGTCTTTACTGGTTAGCTGCTCCGTGCACCAACCTCTCCCTCCATTCACAAGTTTGTCCAGGATGAAACATGCCAGGGTGGTCGTGATCGGAGGCGGTGCGGTGGGTTTCTCCACTGCTGTCTGCATCGCCGAGACTCTTCCTTCCTGTTCTGTCACTCTGGTGGCCGAGAAGTTCAGTCCTGATACCACCAGTGATGTAGCTGCTGGGATCCTGTTCACTGCAAACTTCCCAGGTAGGAAACAGCCAGCTGTACAACAAAGTTAAATTGCAAATGTGATGATATCACTGCAGTTCAATCGAACAGACACAAATAACAGTCAAATGCGAAGTTAGGTCAGAGTGCACATATGAGTAGGATTTTCTGTTTTGTTTTTTTTGTTTTTACTGCATCTTTAATTCAGATGTCCCACTGGAAAGACAGAAACGTTGGTTACAGGACAGCTTTGATCACCTGCTGGCCATCGCTCACTCAGAACATGCAGCAGAAGCTGGAGTCATGCTGACCTCTGGGTAATAACTTTATCAACAGTAGTCAAGTCAGCCATGAAACCATCTTCTGGTCTCAGTTAATGTTTATTTATCTTTTCTTCTACAGTTGTCAGATTTTCCGAGAGATTCCAGAAGATTGGAAGCCTTACTGGTCAGAGATTCTGATCGGCTTTAGAACCATGACCGACCTTGAATTAAAACATTTCCCAGAACACAAGTTTGGTCAGGTCTTTACCACCCTGAAGAGTGAATGTCCAACTTACCTGCCATGGCTGGAGCAGAGGTTGGTTCATGTCGATCTGTTTATTTATTACTAATTTTCCACCTTAAAAAAAAAAAAAAATTTTCACATTAAGTTTGCAGTTGAGATGACTTAACAGATATACAAGAAGATTCACCCTGTGTCACCGGCTCAACAAGATGATGGAAACATTTCTCAGATTTTTTTCCATATTGATGCATGTTGGTGATATTAACGCCTGTTCTACCACCTCCAAACCATAATGTTATTGTTGTGATCTGATAACTGTAAATGTCACTCAGAAGTCAGGAGATACTGACCAGAGAACTAAAGAATTATAGAGAGGGAGGGTTTGCAGGAATGGTCAATGTTGAGTCTGCTTTTAACATGTCCCAAAGGTTCAGGAAGGCCGGAGGTCAAGTACAACAGAGGAAAGTCTACAGTCTGCATGAACTAGGAAACTACGACGTCATCGTCAACTGCTCTGCCTTGGGGTCCAGTACGCTGATGGGTGACACCCAGATTCACCCCATCAGGGGTCAGGTTCTCAAAGTGGAGGCACCCTGGCTGAAGCACTTCATCAGAGATGGAGACGGTAAAACCTACATCTTCCCAGGCATCCACAGTGTCACCATTGGTGGGACGAGGCAGGTGGGAGACTGGAGACTGGAGGCTGACCAAGAAGACACCCAGAGCATCCTGCAGCGCTGCATCAAACTGGTGCCCTCACTCTCTAAAGCCAAGGTTCTCGACACCTGTGTGGGTCTGAGGCCGACCAGGACCAGTCCCAGGGTGGAGAAGGACGTGTTGCAGCTGCAGGGCCGCACGGTTCCGCTGGTCCATAACTATGGCCATGGAGGCTGGGGCGTGGGCCTGGCCTGGGGCACCGCCGTGGAGGCCACACAGCTGGTTAGACAGTGTCTAAATGAGATGCCATTACAGGCAAAAATGTGAAGAAAAAAAAATCTAAACCTTTCACTCTGCTGATGCTGCACACAGGTAGCAGCACAACTGATTAGGTCCACATGTTAAACCCAGGAGTTTTTCATGAGACACACAAGACTTAAATTTAAAGTTTGTTTCCACAAAATTATTTTAAATACATTTAAATTACTTTGTGTTAAATAATCCACACCTTTCAGTTTCTGGGTACATGTCTACAATGTGTTATAATCGGTATATGCATTTTAACTGTGCAGAAATACAAAGTGTATCACTGCTCAGAAATACAAAAAGTCCTAAAAATATAGTAAAGTATGTTAGATACGATAGTATGTCCTTCAAAAACTGTTGTAGCTTACCTTGAAAATGTAGAATTTAAGTCTCAACAATTGCACAATAAACAAATTTGAATAACTTACCTACCATTGAGATGAAGATATTTAAAAATGTGATTAAAAATCAACATACACGACAGAATGTGTCCTTTTATACACAGAACTTTACCTTCAGGAAGAGAAAAGGTCTGTCATTGATGAGCCTAAACATCTGTGTGTTCTACACACATCACATTTTTATTAATTAAAATGCTGTACAGAAATTATTAACAAAAACTGTTTAATAAAATCATAATTTTTACTGTATTAGAAACAAATGGATGATTTTAACTTGGCTGTTAAACTATTTTTTTAAAAGCATGTCGTACCTGCGAAGTTAGAGAAGGTTTTATGGTCGATAATAAAACAAAACAATAAACTGAATTCTATCATCAACAACACAGTGTGAAAATGTTGATTGTGTTTTGTTCAAACGTTTTCCCAGGGAAGTAAAGGCATCACTCCTTTTTCTTTTGCATGGTTTTAGCAGACCAGTGTTAGCCAATCAGATTCAGAGTTGGCGGTTACTTCAGTAACAGAACCTACATGATCTGCAGACGATTTTCGAGCACGACTTTCTCTAACGACAGCGGTAACTTTTCGGTTAAGGAAGTGGAATTGGGTCCCGAAGGTCGCAGGTTCGAGTCCATCAACAGCCAAGTTGCCACTTAGAGTGGATTGAGCATCACACCGTTCCATACATGCAAAAATAGTTACATCGAGGGCAACTGGACAGAGTAGGTTTCCTGAAGACGTTTCACCTCTCATCCATAGATCAAAGCTAACAAAGCTGAATAAACAGCAGCTCCCAGGGAAACATCTTACTGTAGGTTTCCGCAGATACATTACAGGAAGTGAGGTCATGACTCAAGACCCATGACTGCAGTGGCTCTCAGGAATCCAGATTCCTGGAGTTTATAGCCGATTTGTTTCTTTTCATTTTCAGCAGACAAGCTTCAGCATTGGCTGAAATGACACGACTCTTCCAACTCTCCAAGGAGACGGGCTTTGTGCAGTGGGATACACTTCCGACTGTCTGAGGAGACGGGCTTTGTGCAGTGGGATACAGAGACACCGTCTGTCGGTGAAGGCTCTTGTGGTGAGGAGAAAAAAAGAAAGGAGTGATCGGACTTCACAGTTTCTCCGTGACTGGAGTTGCACTCACTGCTGCAGTTGGTATTTAAAGTTGTTGGGTTTGAAGATGCAGAATTGACCGTGGAGTCTTGTTCGTCTCGGTTGTTGTCGTTTGTGGAACTGAGGTTCAGACCACAGGTTTTCATGTCGTGCAGTTCATCCCTCAGCTCTGTGTGGCAGTCTGACAGGGAAAAACTACGCTTCCGTCGCTCCATCACTGGTTTCGTTCGCAGCTCTGTGTAGCTGTGGTTCCTGATAATGGCTCCACTGGTAAAATGCACTTTTGTTGGTTGCAAGAGCACAAGTCTGCACACTAGGGTTCTTACAGAGGGCCTGGCAGCGGGTACACATCCGGGTCTGCTGTGGTCTAAAGTCTTAACAGAGTTAGGAGCAGTCAGGGTCAAAGGAGAGGCACAGAGGGCCTGAGATGAGTGGTGACTCGACTCTAGAGCAGAAGGCGACCTGCTCAGGGCTGAAGGAGCCTTTTTCTTCTTTCCTGAAATAAATGAAATGGTCAAAATTGAAGACAAATTCTAAAACTTACTGAGAGGTGGTACAAGCACAATATGCAGTGCCATGAGTCCTCTGTATTGCAACAGCAAACGAGGGTTAAAAACAGCTATTTAATATTCTACCACTAGATGGTAGCAGATGGCGAATTTGAAAAAACTCTTTATGCTAATGATCAGTGGAAGAAAATAAAAAAGCAGTAAAGTCTGGTAAAGCCCGAAGTGGTTTATTCGTTAGATTTATTTCGCAGACACATCAGAAAATGCTGAACCTCTGGATTAAACTTTCATCAGATAAAGATAAAAAGTTTCATTTTACAGTTTGTCCTCTCACTGTGTTAAACCTTTTCAAAGTAACACATCTGCATTGTTGTGCATTCACAATGTCACAAAACACCATACTGTATAACATGTACAATTAAAGTATTTAGTGTTTTTAGTATTACTGCAGTAGGCAGTGTTTTGAGGCACATATTCAAATACTGTGCAACATCGGGGTTACTGTATAACAGACTACATTAGGTACACCAAAACTGCAGGTTCAGGAGCAGAAATACTCAGTGTAGTGATGTTGACGTTGTTGTCCAACCACACGACCTTCACACAGAACAACTCTTTCTGCACTTTGTGTTTCGAGACTTCTGTAAATAACTGCAGTGCATATAGTTGTAGTGAATAAAGTAAGTCTGGCCAGTAAACAAATGCTGAGGAGTGTGGTTTCTATTTCAGTTCAGAGTTTGTTTCACACGCTGTATCTGTAGTCACTCATATTTCAACAAAGGCCAACCCCAACCAACAGCTATTACATTTACACATTAGTCTGTGAGAACGTGAGGATGTTCTGTAGTCAGTCAAAGATAAGGGACATGTCTTCACCAGTCACTGCTAAGTTTTAAAATTCTAGTCTCTTATCACTCAATTGGTTTAGTTTTTGGATCATTGGTTACAGTATGTCATGGAAATCTTGAAATTGGTTTAGTTTTTGGACCATTGGTTACAGTATGTCATGGAAATCTGCACAGAATACTAGCCAATCCCCATGGTGTGCTGTGGGGGTTTTTTTTTATACAATATATACATATAATAAGGTTGTCATACATTAAAATTTTTATTCTGATTAATCACAGAATTTGATTAATCATGAATAATCAAGATTAATCGAGATAAATCAACATTCTTCAATATGACAAACAACGTTCTATATTTGTATATATGTATATTGCTGGATCAGGTTATAAATCCACCCAAGTTAAAATTCAGTCAAACGGTTCTCTCTTATGTTCTCATCAATACTAACGGATCTGTACTGTTTGTCTGTTGTACGTTTATTTACTGCTCTGTCTTAAAGGATGGTCTGACGTAAGCCTGGCTTTTCACCGAAATAAATCTGTCTTTACTGCGAATAACGTGTGTCGTCTGCATATTAGAGGAACGATACGTGGTTGGACCGCGGGATAATGCGCTCTTCTGCTCACGAGTCATGATATACTGTATATGTTTTTTTTTTAAATCAATCTGATAAAATTAACTTAAATTAATTAACACAATTTGCGGGCTAATTTTGACAGCCACAATAAATATATATTGTATTGAGCAGCAGAGTGGAAGGAAGTAATAAACTGAGCAACTCACGTTCATAAAGCGCTTCTTTGTTAGTAAATGATATGCAGATTCATACAACCTGCTCTACACGATCTACATCTACAGCATCAACCACACCTGGGTGTTATCACACCCACTTTTTAAAAAAATCGGAATAATCTCGTGTAACACGATTATCTTTTAATAAAGTTGTAACGCTTTTTCAAAAAGGCTGGTAAAGCATTTAAATACAGATGGAGAACAGAGGAACCCAGCGATGAAGAAAAGAGAGTCCAAAGCCGCAGAAATAAAAGGAACCCCAGAGGAACAGGTGGTGAGAGAGTCTTTCTAGAAGAGCTTGGAAACGGAATGTGGAGAGACTCGCAGGACTGACGACAGCGTACGTCTTTGGAGTGAAGACAGAGGAGGCCAGAGGAGGAGCAGCAGCAGGAGCAGGAGGAGCAGCGTTCACAGTCAACTCAGACCGTCATTACCGTTCTCCAGGTTCTCGTTACTCTCGTAGCAGCCGGAGTCTCGGGGAGAATCACCCGCGAGGTCACGCCGCTCCAGGAGCAGCTTCTCCTGCGAGCCTCCAGACTGACTGCCTTTGTCAGGATCACTGCTGCCTGCAAGGCACAAAAAATCACCAGCAGAGGGCACACGGTTACGCGTTACGATTTCACAACAGCACGTAAATGTGTTGCGTTCATGGTTTGAGTTTTTTTTTTATTTTACTTTAACATAGTTATATGTCCATGGTAATGTATTTTTTATGTAAACACAGTACATTAAACTATAATATTTGTTACCTAAGTGAAACTTATAACTTTGCAAATCAGTTTCTGGTAATGACAAAGTACTGCAGCCTCTGAGGCCACTGAGTGGCCATAGGAATAAAGTGACATGACAGAAGTTCAGTACAGCTCTGCCCTGACCTGACCTACCATCGTACTCTTGCAGCAGTTCCACAGCAGTGAGCAGCACAGCTCTGTGCTGAGCATCTTTGATATTTAACTCATCCAGATCTTCCTCCTCCAGCAGCTTGAAGGTGTCCAGGTCTTCATAGCCATTGAAGAGGAAGGTGGGGAGATATTCCTGTGGAGGGAAGAGGGTGAGTGATAACAGCTCAGTAAACACAGTGTGGGTGAAATTATTTAAAATCTTCCTGAGGAATGAACAAGTGAGTTGTTTGTCATTTCTTCAGCTCAAGGAAGTAATATTTGGGGTTTTCTACAGGTTCAAATATAGTTAATGTTCGAGCTAGAAAAAAAGATAGTTCATCTAGGAGGTGAACCATTCAGTCGAGGTTCAAAGAGTTCCTTTTCTGGCTGCTGCTCTGTGATAAATGTCATGGATGTTGTTGCTTTAGAGGTAAAAATAAATGTTCAGGGTTGATCCTTGTGATTGCCACAGGTTTTGCCGTCTGGCTGGTGGAGGCATGTGACCAACATTTAAAGACAATCCGTCTTAATAATATATATATATATATTCTAAATCATGTCACTAGAATAAAAAATATTAAACATGACTTTAATTACTTTGAGGTTGATGCGATCGAGCAGCTCCTCCACAGAGGTGGGTTTGGGTTGCCTCCCTCTCCTCCTCCTCCGTGTCTTCTTGGGCTTCACCTCCTCTTCATTCATGACGTCCACATAAATGAACTTGAAGGTGCCCACTTTACCGTTAAGCATCCCCATCCAGGTGCCCATGGGTGGCTTACTGATGATGTCAATGACGTCACCACACTGACACAACGACATCAGCACAGGTTGATTATTGTTTTTAAACCACATTAAAATGCTTTGTGTTTGTTCTATGGCAGTGGCGGAGGCGAGACCTTCAATTTGAGGGAGTCGGTGTCGTAAGGACTGGGTGTGAAGTCAGTGTGAACTAGTGCTCGCCCACAGAAGGGCCCGCGGTAAGGCATTTCGTCCTCCTCGCCATCCTCAGACTTCACACTTTCTCTGTTGCTGTTGGAGGAGTCAGTGGTGCCCACTGTCTGACCACCTACACAAACCACAGAGGAACAACAAGGGTTTACACAAAAGCCTCCACCAGTTGGTTTGTGAAAATTTTTTTTTTCATTTTTCATCTCATAGAGCCACTAAAAGGGCTTAGACTATTTAAGAATGATTTAGTGACATTTGTCTTAAAAAAACTGACATCTATATGTATGTATGTATATATATATATATATATATATATAAATATAAATATAAACACTGACTGACTGACTTACTCATGGAACTCTGTCCACTAAGTGAACTCCTCAGGCTTTCGACAGACCCCCCTGGTTTCAGCTTGGGCTTCTCCAGAGAGTCAGAGTCTGTTTGAGGTGAGTTAGGACAACTGGAAACCCAGTCAGGACTTGACTAAGATAGAGAGGGTAAAACAAAGATTGAACTTGTATCTGTGTAAAGAACAAATCCATAGAAATGAAGTAGATGCACTGAGGAGCAGCAGATACAGTATGTGACCTTAAGCACGTGTTGTCCAGGAAGTGCACAACCTTTACACACCTGCTCAGACAGAGAGCTATGGTATCTCTTCGATATGTGTTTCCTCATCGTCTCTCTGACAGACTTGACCTTTCTACCCAGAGAAATGCGGGCTGTGGGTGGAGACTTTACTGTATCTCTTATACCACCGTCTCCATGCTTGTTTAAAAAAAAAAGAGGAAAAAGAGGAAATTAATAAACAAATGACTGATGCACTCTGGTATTTGCCATACTCGGATAAAAGTTAGGGATTACGATCACGTACTGGGTTTTCACTGTCAGAGGTGATGACAAGAGTGGAGCGGTTGGTCAGGTCAAATCCTCCAAAACTACAAGCTCTCTGTAAATGAAAGCAATTAAAATGAATCTTTCATTGTTGAATTATGAAGATGGTAAATGAATGGATAAGACTCAGCAAACACTGGAGGACCGTGTTCTCATTCTGTTCAGTGGCATTAATCATCAACCAACAGCAGAACCAACAGCTCCTCTCCACTCACCCCGTGTTGGCTGTTCCGCTCCTCTCCACTCACCCCGTGTTGGCTGAGCGGGTTAAGGATTCGGTGACGGAGCTCCCCATCCGTCACAGACCGAGCCATTTTTGCTTCCTCCTCATTACAGCCACCTGGTTCTGAAAATGAAGAGCCGCTGCCTTCTGCTGCCTCCCTCACCTCACCCGTTACCACCCCCTCACGGTGAATGGGGCTCTCGTTGGATTTGCTTAAGGCCTGGAAGATTTTCTGGCTGCTGCAGGTGTCCAGACTGCTGGAGGAGGGGGAGGTGGTCAGGCTGTCAGAGTCTCTGTTATATATGAGCTGCTCCTGCAGAGCGGAGGCCAGGGAGTCCACGGGACAAACTGTGAGTTTCTTTACTACACCGGAGTACAGAGAGGAGCAGGAGTCTCCACAGGCAACACCGTCTGTGTTCAGGTTTTCTGGGCAGATAGAAAAAGGACAATGGATAGGATTTACCTTTGTGATGTCAGAGAAATGTAATTTCCATCAGCAGACAAACTCTGTGGAGGTTTATCAAATATCAAAGTCATATATATTAACATATTTATTATAAAATAAAGACTAGAAGTTGTACTGGAATTTGTATTTGAATGCAGATGTTTGTAGAACCTGTAAACTGCTGGGTTGTTAAAGATAAAAATACATTTGAATAAAATGTCAGAAAGGGAATAAATGCAAATAAAATAGTATACCTTTGCAACAAAAGGAAAAAAGACAAAAGAAAACAGTTTAAATAACTGTGGAAAAAGTTAAAAAGGATGGTCTGCAAAAAGCAGGACAGAAAAATACAGTATAAAGGAAAAACAAAAAGGCAAAACGGGCAAAAAAAAAACGAGAAAAAAGAGAAAGGCTAAACATGTATAGGACGTAATTCCAGCTTAAATACTCTTTTATGGATAAACATAAAAAAACAATTAAAAAAATATTATATATTAAAATATATATTAAAAAATATTTAAAAATGACAAAAAGGGTTCTAATGCTTAATGGTCTGCACATCATAGTCCAGTCAAATGAATAAACTCTGTTATCGCAGCACAAATGCTTCCTTGAATGGTTATTACATCCCATTCTGTAGAGTCTGTCACATGATGCCAGGGTTTATTATAATGGCTGCCACTAGAAAGGTATGAAAATAAGAATTAGTTGCAGCCATGGCTACACATTCTCCTTTACAAAGACTCTGATGTTGTTAACCATACCCTCTGTTCCAGGTCTTCTAGAATCTTCAACTCTGACCAGCTTCTTCTTTACCTTCCGGGTTGAGTTGACCAGTTTGTGGAGTCTCCTGAAGGCAGCAGACTCGTCCTGTTCATTGTCTGACAAATCGCAGGACTGACAGAAGGGAATAAGAAAATTAAATTCACTACAAAATCCTATTATTTTCATTAAAACCCCACTTTAAATCTCCCTACATTTTGTACTTCAGAATTTTTTTCCCATAGGAATTAGAAAGGTCGGAAAGACGTGTACTTGCTAAATATTCTGCTGCATTTAGTTTTAGAGGCGATTCTCTGGAAACTATTTGCAGCCTAATATAAAAATGTGGTAGAAAACCACAGTGATGACAGTGAAGGCAACATCCGCAGCTGGTCTAAGTCTTCAGTTTCACAATACACCAGAAAAGGCTTCGTGTGGGTGGGAAAATAAAAGAATTATCTCTGTCCGAGAATAAAATAAACATCTTAACCTTATCATCGTGACTGTCCTTTTTGTTTTACTATACTGAAATTTTGATGTGATACTTTGGATCCTATAAGTTTACACTTTTTTTTGTAAATCAAGCTAAAGATAATTTTTCTTTAGGTGTGCAGGATACAATCAAAAGATCACCTTTTTCTTGGATTAAACAACAATAAACTCAGTGTAAAATGGTACAACTCGTCAAATTAAAAAAAGAGATCTCAGAAAACACAAAAAATAAAAATTGAACATGCGCAGCAGAGCGTGTTTCTCTACAACAATCTGAAAAAATGTGCCCTGACCCTGAGCCCCTCATCATCCCACCACGGTATCAAAGAGACGCAACCTGCATAATAGGGCCCTGTGCAGAATCCACCCGCAAACCATAGCACAATGGGGGTTTAGGGCTTTGACAGAAATGAATGGGAGTCCGCCCAGTGCCCTGCAGTTGGGCTGCTGGGCATTCAAAGGGGCCCAGGTTCACTGCTGGAACATGGACAGAGCTGCTGCTAGCAGAGAGTTGTAGAGAGTGTTGTCGACAACCCTGGTGCCGCTGAGCAGAGACTCTCATGACTGAAGGGCCCTCAGTCTGGGTTCTCAGACACTTACGTTCACTGAAGGGTCAGTCTGGGTTCTCAGACACTTACGTTGAAGTTGAAGGATTCATTTGCGTTGGGACTGGAGGCATCTGTCCATTCTGTGGGGTCAGACCTGCACGTCTGTCTGTTCTGGATCTCAAACTCTTTCAACTGTAATAAAAAAAGGAAACACTGATGTGATATATGCAGTGTCACAGGTGTTGTTCAGTATAAAAGGTGATTTATTCACACCTAAAACTCAGCATTGGTAATACCCAGTGAGATGAAAAGCGTGTTCTTAGAATACAAAATAATTTCCTCTCCTGAATTATCACTGTAATAGTAAAACACTTAATTCAGAGAAGTGAATACAAAAAACACAGGACTTCATACCCGTGCGAGAGCCTCCTCTATAGAGATCATGTTCTCCTTCACCATCATCATCAGCTGGATACGCTCTTCATCACTCATGGTGATTTCACTGGCCACAAAACCAACATCATCACCTGTTGAAAAAAATCAAAAGTCACGATTAAGCAAAAATGTATCTTCATTGTGATATTGTGATAGTTGAAAAGGTCTGAATATTAAGGATTTAAAGTTCAACAAACCTTTGGAAACCTGACGCATTGGTTCTTTCTGCGACTTTCGGAAACTCTGCCAAAAAGACTTGCTCTTCTTCCTCCCATCCAACTTTCCTGTACAGTGAGATAAACAGTTCAAAAAAAATTATAGTAAGAAAAATAGTCTAAAACAACATTATCAATGGATTTGGTGGAATAAAAGCGTTCGCTCCATATTGTTGTACCTATGCTGTAAATTATTAATGCAAACAGCACTTATTTGCAGGTTGAATATTAGAAAGAAAACTCTCTGTTTTAAAACATATTTTTAACCATAATAATAACAATAATGAAAAAAAAAACTGTACCTCCTGATGATCCATCGTCAGAGCTGGACTTGTGCACTAGAAACCTACAAAAAAGGTACAGATTTATTCATTTTACCATTTACTCTTGATTTTTCTTTCCCACATCTTAACAGTACCTGTCCTTCAAAGTTATCCTCTTCATTTTCCCACAATATTCCTCAACATGTCTTCAGCGTCAAAGTGACAAAAATTAAAAACCACATAGAAATGACAAACAGCGCACTGTCCCTCATCTCATGACAGCAGTTACCACAGTCAAGGCAAATCAAAGTGTTGAAAAAGCGATGAAAAAGCCTGACGGCTCTTGGCTGATGAACAGAGGTCAGTGCTCTTCAGCCACTGCAGGAACAAAAGAGTCTTTTTTATTTTCCACTGGAGGTTTTCTAACAGCAGCCGCAGCAGCAGCAGTTCTGCTGTGGCCTCTGCATTCTCTGCACACTTTCACCCTCGCTCTTTTTATTCATCATTCTGTCTGTCTCTCTCTCTCTCTCTCTCTGTCTGTCTGTCTTTCTATTGCTACCTTCATCTCTGAGCTGCTTGCTGTTTATAACGTTTACACTCCGCCTCCCTGAGCTCAGCTGTGGTCAGGTCAGGTGATGTCAATGCAGAGCAGACATTTTTCTACTTACCGCAGATCAAATAAATACTGACAACAAGTTTTACTAAAGAAAAATAATTAGACTGCATTTATTATGCTAAGAATAAGCCTTGTGTCTCTGGAAGATACAGATAACGCTAAAAAACCCACTGTAAACACTGTCACAGTGTAGCACATGTCGTGTCAGAACAAAACAATCTGAGAGTGTTTGCTACAAACCCCTGATTTAAATAATTTAGTTCATATAAAAAGACATTTATTGCAGAAAAGCTGCTTGTTTACTTAGAGCTTAGACATTGGCAGTGTCAGTTGAACAACAACAAATTATTATTTGCCAAATAATAGCAACAACACATAGTAATTTGCTTCAAACTTAATTTGTTATAAAGCTGTCAAAATTAGAATGACTTGTATTTTATTTCCTTCTAGCCTTACCAGTTAAACTACAGAGGAATGTAAAGGCTACTGCAGACCACCAGAGGGAAATGAAAACCTGGGCTGGTATGATTTAATAGTTTGGTCTGATTTCCCTGGCAAGTCATAAATAATACACATTTTAAGTAAGAGGTCATATAAACCCTGGTCACCAGTGGGCCATCACACATCTACAGAACCTCCACCAAAACAAAACAACCTCTAAACGACAGTCGTGTACATATATGTATATACGTACACACACACACACACACATATATATATATATATATATACAGACATCTGTTGAAATAACATTTCTCTTGTTTTCCTGCACTGATGATAAAGTCTACTAAAGCCATCTGAGACAGAGATGTTGCTCAAGACTTCATGAAACCCATGTGTGGCTTTATCATTAGTCATTGAATATCTTTTATCTTATTCAGTTTTTGACCAAATATGACTAATGTTTGAAAGTCCTTGAAAAAAGACAATGGGGGGAAGGAAGGAAGTTTATAGGTGACACGGGAATGTTTCATACACATGACACAAGGGAGGCACAAGGGAGCAGAGGAAATGCACAGTGTGACTGTGAGATAAAGAAAGAAAAATGAGATTTAAGCCTCCTTCAATCAAGTGACTCAATCAAATAACTCAGTCATCTGTAAACACATCACAGCTGCACATCATCTGAGTGTACCAAAAAAAATGTCTCTGTCATCATCAGATACTGCATTGTTGGGGATAGTTTGTTTGAAAGTTTAGCTTTTGTTATGGTGATTAGAAAAAAAAATTAAATCATGAAAAGTATATATTCTTTTACCTTCTTTCTGATTCTGGAGTGGACGTGGCACTACTGAGTCCAAGGGATTCCTAAAAGAGTTTTTTTTTTAAAAAGTGTCATTTACATAATTTATAATTACAGTACATTTGATCAAAATAAAATGAAAATAAATACATGTCAGACTCTAAATCCTACACAGACTCATTCCAGGAACATTAAGATTTCCGCTGTGTTGCAGTTTAAACACACAAATCTTGTAACTTGGTGGCTAACAGCTGGGTTTCTGACCAGTCACACTCCACATATTTCTCAATACGCTCTTTAACTTCTGAAATCATTCTCAACGCCTGCTTTCTGCATCACAATCACTCAATTGTTATGTTCTGGTTTGGTTTTGCTCAGCATTGTCATGACTAGACAAATTCTTCAAGCTCTTATCGACCCGTCTGCTGACGCACGCAGAGGGAAGTGGCCTTCTCCTGGGTTCTGACACACTAAGAGCTGGACACTCACCTGGATCTGAGAGCGGAGATGCACTGATGTGGCCGCTGAGTCACTTTTTCCCTGAAAAACACAGACCGAGGAAGTTAGGGAGTAAATTATAGTGTCATTGCAACACTGAAATAGAAATAATAATCAGATCATCGGATAGGTCAGTCCACAGTGTGGTAAAACGCAGGTCAACAGTTCCTGTAAAGTCTCAACAATTCCTGGAAGACAAAAAAATGACATTTGAGCTATCAGGATTTTTGTTTGCCTGACTTGTCTTTTGTTTCCAGGTTTTATTTCCAGAAATTTAATTATGGTTAGGATACTTATGGTTTGTCAATGGAAGGAACACCACTAGGTGGTTACATTTCTAAAGTTGGAGGTCAGCGCGTTACCAGTGTGCACTAAGTGGTCTTCATGGTCTTCCTGCTTCAAGTGACTACAAACATAATTGCCAGCTGGGAGGGGTAAGATTCAAGACTCAAATAACAATAGGCTAACACAACAAACAACACATTAACTTGACCTTTTTTTTTAAATTTCAAATACGTTCAGTTCTATTGGTCTTTTTCAGCCTTCAACAGCTAATAGCTTACTCTTCATATCACGGTTCATACAGAAAACATGAAATTCTATTATCATGGCATGTCAAACGTTCTGTTTATACATTGCTTTCAGTCAGTCAGATTAAATATGTTATTTTTCACTGAGTGGTGGACTGTTGAAATATATTTTATTTATGATTCGTTCAGCTGTAGTAGACCAGCTGAGTGCTTTATTTACCATCTCTGAAGTGTGCACCACTTTGCGTTTGCGAAGCTCCTCCATTCTCTCACACACGTCACTGAGGGAGGTGCCGTAATACTGGGAGTACTCCTGAGCCAGGTCATCAAGATTCCCCACCGAGCCATCCTGCAACAGATTAAAAGCCTTCAAACACACGTACGCACACTGTTACGGGCAGAGAGGAAAACATCTTCTCACTGATGTTGAGCTAGATGTCAAACAGTGGGTTATCACTGTTAATAGCGGCCACTCACGATAAACCATTGTTTCAGGATTTTTGTGAGGTGAACTGCTAAAGCAAACAGCCAGGAAACAAAAGATAAAGTACAGAGAGAGTCAAAGCATCAGAGACATCCAGCTGTGATATTGCCTTCAAGAGGCTGTCGTCTTCCTGCCCACTGACCCATTTCACCTCCGTAGCCCCGCTCAGACGTGACCCCCCCCGGCCAGAGGAAGTACTGTGTGACGCATCTGCAACTCTCACCCAGGTTTGCTGGAGTGTAATCAGCAGAGGACGCAGGAGGCTGACGTTCAGTCTACTATAAATCTTGAGAAACTCCCAGTCAGAGGAGCCTTTGTCCTGGTACAGAGCTGACATCTGAATTTAACAGATTTAGGTTTCCTACAATTGTAGGAGCAAAAATTATGTTTTTTTCTATCACACGGTGTGTGATACATATTGAGGGGAAATGTTTTGAATTCTCTGACCCAGTATCCTTTAAGAGAGGAACAAGCACAACAACCTGAATGTCATCTGTACTCTGCTTCTAAAGGTGAAAATAAACCAAACCAGTAAAAAACCATAACGCTGTAACTAAAACTTATTAACAATCTTTTTCAGAAGTCTTTGGACTATGTTAAAGTCACAGCAGACCATTACTTTGCGGTTTATTTGTATGCAAAACATGTGTTTTTTCCTTACAGAAATAAAAGCATTTTTAGTGTCTTTGAATTCTTTGAGTTCAACAACCGCATCAAATCCATTGTTTCTGTTTTTCCTAATGTCTTCAAATGTTTCCCTTGAGCTGAAAGACAGTGTTTTGTTTACTTTTTCCTTGCATATTTAGGACAGTTCGTGTCACTGTTACACTTTTTTTTTTAAAACCAGTAGATTCAATAAAGACATACATTTTAAGAAAACTAATTCTAGGGTTGGACATTAGCTGGTCTTGGTTATGGCCAGAGACGACAGTTGGTGAGGTTGTAAAAAATAAGAATTTAGGTTGATGCATTCCCTTGACAAACACAGCTCCATCTGTTGTGTATAAATGAGTTTCATGATTTCATGTAAGATCAATGTTTGATATTCTAGGATGATCTATATTAAAGTAACTATTTTGGTATAATGTTGCACCTAAAGAATTAAACAAAAAAAACATTCAAAATTAAAAGAGCTAAAAGAGAAAACAAATGAAAAAAAAGGTATAAAACATACAGTATGTACACATATTGCAAATAATATTCAAACTACAGTTGTTTTTATCCATTTGTTAAACAACAGGAAAACACAAGCTGAGACTAATGTATAGGTGACCCAGTTAACTATCAAATACATATGTTTTATGTTGTTTCATACCCAGAGGATATGAAAATGTGGTCGTCTTCTCCTGTGAAAACTAATACCATGCTCTCACTTGACTCGTGGCGTGATAGACTGTAACTAGCTCAACAGTCCGGCAAAGAGAGAGCCATTTATTTGTTAAATGACAAGCCCCAGGGTCGAGGAGAAAAAAAAAGGCCTGAAAATCTGGCTGCCTTTCATACAGTCAAGTAAAGAGGCAGAGTCTCACTGAGAAGCTCTGCACTGTGTGTCTTACCAAAGCAGCTGATCCACATAAACAGCCCATTGTAACATAGGCACATGATATGGAGTGCCTATTAGGCACAAGGCATGCATGCATCAAATTGGAAGACATTTACATAAAAAAAAAAACAAAAAAAAAAAACAAACTGACCTAAATGTTAAGTCCAATAAACAACACAAGTTGCTGTGCTTTCGTGCCAGGATGTCTTACAGAATGGGGAAAAAAATATTCCGGCGTGCTGTCTCCAAATTAATGGTCTTGGATGCCAAAACTTCAGCATGAGACACAAACCACGAAGGCTAGAAGAGGAGAGTGTGGTGTCACGTTTCTGAGGCACTGAGCATCTCAGAGGCAGACAAAAGATCTGCGTGCCCTGAAGCCCCGCAGTGTCTAATGAGTGTTTTTACAGATACTCTGTTCTGCCTCAACCTTTCAGTCAACAAGAATGGCGTCATTACGTTTGAGAAAATAATGACTATGACTTTATGCTTCTTTGATGTAGAGGTGTTGTAGGCAGGCGTCAGATGGCAATACCAAGCACATCACAAAGTTTAAATGGCAAAAGAATATTAAGTAACAAACAGTTGTTCTGAACAGAAATCTTAAAAGATCTTTTTTTTATTACTGTTGTCCTACTGTCATGTGTTAGTCCACATTCAATCTGGAAGATGAAGAATTGTTGAAGATTTATTTTATTGTACATTTGTCACCCACTAAATGTTGGGACAAAATTTAAAGTTTAAAACATTAGGCAAATATTTTAGTATTTAAATGTCTTTCATCTGTCAGGAGCATGATTTAAGTTAGGCGGAGTATTTAATTCTATAAACACCAGCACTCAATGAAAGAGTGCTGTAGATACAGCACACGTTATGTACCAAGAACAAAGACGTGTCTAAAAAGAGTTCTTGCTTCTGTTTAAAGAGCTAAAATTAATGAAGAACAAAAAAAAAAACCCTGCGACATGAAGCTAAACATTCTTGGGACAGGAACCGATTGTTCACTAAATCTTCATTGAACTCCCGGCTCTTAACGTGGGACCACATTCCAGTGCGAAAGAATTAAAAATACACTTACCACAAACAGGCATCTGGCTGCCAACAGTAGCCTCTACCCCCCCACTGCCCTAGTTGTTCTTCAGCTCCACCACACTGTTGCTGCTGCTGCTACTGGAGTGAAGGGTTTTTGAAACTTACTTCAACTCACTGAGTGGAGGACAAGGACATCCTGAAGAGGAGGGGAGGGACGGACAGGGCAGGGGAGGGGAGGGGTGTTTGCCACGCATAAATCAGAGGGAGCACGGTGGAAGGGGAACGTGAGGCTGTTGGGTGGGACCACTCTTACTCTTTCCAGCTGCGGTCCACGGGGACTGGCTGACTCACATATGTTCAAATAAACCACCACCTCTACGTGTGAGTCGGAGTCTGCTGGGGGGCTTATGAACATGTGTCAGGACAGAATTCGTTTGGAGAAGTCAAGATTTCTTTATGTCACTTAGTTTTAAGATTTAACTCAAAATATTCTTTAACATAGTTCAATAGTAGGATAAAAGTTTCTTCCTGTCAAAAAAAAAAAACCAACAAAAAAAGGAAAATACTGAATAGGCTAAGTGTAAATATATATAAATAAATATTATAATATAAATATGATCCATCCAGATATTGGAGTTACTTATACCAGTCTCCCCTTCCTTTCATCTAAACGGGACTCAATAAATGTAATATAGCTTTCTACAGCTCATAAATTACTAATTTATTACAAATGTGGAAAGTCTTGTAGTGAAAGCCTAACTTCCAGCAGATGGCAGCAAATACCTTTTAACCTCCCAATAATGACATGCCAGTACCTCAAGTCCTAAGGGGTCTAGGAAAATCTTCTTTTTCTTTCGGCTTTGTCCCTTTTTCAGGGGTTGCCACAGCAAATCATTGATTTCCATCTCTCCCTGTTCTCTGTATCTTCTACTCTGACTCCAACTACCTGCATGTCCTCCCTCACTGCATCCATATATCTCCTCTTTGGCCTTCCTCTCTTTCTCCTACCTGGTAGCTCCATCTCTAACATTCTTCTACCAATGTATCCACTGTCCCTCCTCTGCACATGTCCAAACCATCTCAATCTGGCTTCTCTAGCTTTTTCTCCAAACCTTCCTGTCTGTGTTGTGAGGGGTCTAGGAAAATATTGGACTAAATGTCCTCATCAATGACATTACATCTGATATGTTTGAAGAGCAAGTCTTTAAGGGTCTGTTTAAACTTTAGTCAGCTTCTTATTGGTTTTGTTATTTGCTAACATACTGAATGTTCAGAATACTAGCAGCAGACTAGCAATGGTCCACATCTGCACTTCCTGTTTAAAAAAGGGATCTCCACATATCCTTAAGGCATTAGGGATCTGCGTAGTGACCTTGTTGGCTTGTAGTAATTGTGAGATTAAGCATGAAGAAATACCACAAGTGTCTTTGATCGTGACCCTGCTCTCTCTAATCTCCACCAAATGGACACTGATTCCTTAACAGTGAGTAGAAGCAGCAGGACGCATCAACAGCAGTCACATCTAGATTATGGTGGAAGTCACTGTGAGGTGCCGAATAACCATGGTACTGTATATCAAAGGTGGTGAGTCACCACTGTGGTGACACAGTGGTGGTCTGCTGGTGACCACTGATCACCGAGGAGAACCTGGAGATAGGAGGTTTTCTCTCCCTGTCTCTCAGTTCTGTTCCCATCATCATCAAGTTTGTTTTTTTTTTTTTTCTGTGAACCGAAGCAACTGAGCAGCTCAGCTCTTTCTCTGTGCTTGACTCCTGCAGAGTAAGAGTCAGGTAAAGGTTTGAAATGTTGACACATCGTAGTATGTGATTTCAAGGGAACATGTTCCATGGTTCTGTTTCTCCAGTCTCCAGGGGAAATGAAGAGTTTCTTATACAACAATTTAGACCTTTGCAAAGAATCAACATGTACTATCACACAATTACATGGAATAAAAATATTATTAACCTGCTCTGACTCCATGCATTACTCCCTATGGAGAAAACTAAGATCAGTGGAGGAGCTTTAAGCATTCATTCCTATGTGGTAAGTGGATTGTGACAACTCCCAAATGAGAGTTTGACAAGAGGGGTCACATTGCGACACGCACAGTGTCAGTCACAGACTGCACATAAAGAGCTGCTGGAACTAAATCATTGAAGTCTGCGATACACACAGAGTGAGTGAGAGACAGAGAAAGGGGGGTGGGAGGACAGGGAGGGAGGGAGAAAGAGAGAGAGAAAGAAAGAGAGAGAGCTAATATGCTTCTGCTCTTTATCGTGTCCTCAGTAAC